GAATTGTAGCAAAAAAGTTACTTTATTGAAAATGAAAAATATATTCCTTAGACACAAACTATGAAAAATGCCTGAACAGTTGTGTGTTGACTGCCACGTCTATTTTATTTATAGCCTGCAGCACATTTAAACAACAGAAGTTGTTTAGAGACAGGCACATTTCCATTCCATGTCTCCAAAAAACCCAGTTTCAAAATACATGAAAAGCCAAAAGGTATATTTGATTCTGTGAATAACTATTATGGAAAGTAAAAATCACAGTGGTTTAGTGGTTATTAAAATAATTTGATGATGATTCATCTCATAGATCATAGCACACTGCTCTCCCCTACATAACCTGCCTTTGTATGTTTGACAATAATGGCCCTGTATTCACTTGGTATTGGATCAATACCAGAGTTTGCAGTATCGTCCAGCATTATATGATAATATTCTGTTTGTAAAAACAAACATTGGTGATTTATTTACCTCTACAAAGAAACAGAGCACCTGCTTCCAACCTTCTGACTTAGCAGAGATACGAGGGTGAAACAACCAAAAGTAGAATTTCCTAAAATTAAAAGTTATAGTTTATTAAATTCGACAAACAAAGAATTGACTAGACTTTCAGACATCATTTAATGAAAGTGTCTTTAGAGTGGCGTTCATTAATTTTTACCTCAGCAGTGCTGTGAGGGCAGCGCTTGATGGGTTGCCATCGAGCAGCTGGGTACACGATTACGCCACCTGAGTTTCGCAAAATAACCTGTCTTTGCCCGCCTGTCGGTTCGCCCTGGTGCCTTGCAGGCAGTGGCAACAACGCGGGGTCCGCTACTCGCATGTACACAGCTCATCATGAAGCCCCTGGGTGTTCTGCAAAAGAACAGGACACGCAGCTCTGTTTGTGTGTGGGCACAGGTGTCGGAACACACGAATCCATGTGCAGATGTATTTGTAACTGTGTGATTAATTTTATGGTTTTTGATGTTAATTTTTTCCCAAGCGCTTGCTGGAGACTCACCTCTATTGTGCATGTGCAGGACACAGAACTAAGTGTGATCCTAGGTACCAACTGTCATCCCTGAAGTAGTAGATATGTGATGCTCTCGCCTCTTAATTGTCTTTGAACAGATTTAAAATAAAGTTGTGTCTTCGCACACGCATTAATGTGTGCGCTCTGCTCTCTCTTTAGTAATGCCTTTGCTATCATCAATCACTTCACTTAACCAGGTTTATGCATGTATAGGTGTGTGGCTGTCTCTGTGCGTTGAGGCTTTGCCAGGGGCTCATCACTGCATCGCGGGCATCTGTTTGAAACTGGAATAAAAGTAGAGCCTATGAATAAAAGAGCCACATGAATAAAATCACAGAATGCAAATGACTTGCCAGGCAGGGATTCTGTGTGTGTGTGTGTTTGTGTGTGAGCGACTGCGAGTGCAAGAGTGAGAGAGAGGAAGTGTTGCATCCAGCCTGCATTTGTTCTCCATCCAATCATGCCTCCACTTTAGCTTGACTGATACAGTAAGCACACACACACACAGAATCAGACACAAAGCTTTTTCTTCTCCGAGGTGCATGCTTTTCTCATGCATTAATCATCAGCGGTTTTGACACTTGGATCCCATCAGAGAAGAGAGGGAGCTGTTTTAACAGAGCCATACTGTTGGTTCTCTCCTTGACTGCTAGCACTGCCTCAGGTGACTTTATCAATTAGGCCTTTCTGGAAACACCGGCATCCTCTCTGCTCCCTCATGTCCTCCTCTGTTTCACTTTCTTTTTTATGATTTGTTGTTTTCTTTTTCTCCTACCTGCCCCTCCTCGCATCGTTTTCGTGTTCTTCTCCTCCACCTACTCATCTGTTACTACTGATACTTCATACACACCAACATTTTTCTTTACTGCACACTCTTTTTTTTAAAAATTCCTTCCGCATTCCCAACCCAAATCTTATCTACTCAGCAACTCGTAGTTCCTTTAATGGAAATAACATAGCACAAACATATTCTGTTTTGATTAAATAAAAGCAATTTTTCTCTGAAAATGTAAAATGTGTACGATGCCACAGCAATAGAACACTGCCACAGGTGAGTAATACTATAGGAGTCAATGCGGCGCTGCTCTGTCACAGTTAAACATAACTGTGGGCAACCAGGGGTCAGCCTCAGAGATTAGCATAGTTACTCTGTGCAGCTTCGTACCAGTCAGGCTGGCCTCGGCCTCGGGGCGCCTCTGGGCTGGAATTGACAGCAGGAGGGAACGGGATGTTTGTCAACAGGAAAATGATAAAGCTTATGCGGTAAAACCTAGAGAGAGCGATAGCATGTTTACGTCACAACTGTGCACATTAGCCTGCAGAAATGAACCCTTTCAAGCCAGAATTTCTTTTATTTTTTTGAAAATTAAGTATATATTGTAAAGAATCACACTAATGATGTAGAAGTCTCCAAAACTCATGTATCAAATGTGATAAATTTAGCTTTAAAGGGTTAAAAAAAATAGAATGGATGACTTGTTGCTTCACTCAGTGCTGGTCATAAATGCAAAATATCTTAGACTACAGCAAAAATAATGTCAGGACTACTGTATCAGCCCTGACCTGTCTTTGATTATTTCCTGAAATCAGTTTGTACTTTATTGTTTTCTGCTAGCGATTAGAAAACATGGTTTACCTCAGCCATAGTGGCTCCTTTGGAGCTATAATACAATACTGTACTGATTTTTTCATTTAGTTTTTTTTTTTTAATGCGGGTGGTCATGTTTGACAGTGTCTGGCTTACTGTTCATCCCTTACATATTGAACCCATTACAGAATGGATTCTGTAAGAGCGACGGTCTACAAGACATGCTTGAGTGAAGCTGGCATAAAGCTTTGGCAGAAGTGTGCGCAATAATGAGGCAATGCCAAGCAATACCATACTTCTCATCCCTGTCCCTTAGATGTGTCCCCAAAGGGCTAACATACATGTCACCAATGACATACACTGATTAAAGTCTGAGTGTGTGGATTGTAGTGGGCAGTATGTCACGCATGTGCCTGTGAGTTGAGAGGGCACGGTGCGCGGCATATGTACTGCACTGGTTTCGCTGGCACTGAGTGTTGGTGCTTGTTTGTGATGTTTGGTGTGTGTGTGTGTGTGAGTTTGCTTTGGTCGTGGGAGCTTACAGGCTCTGTGCGCAGAGGTTCCCTAATCCAGTGTTTTGAAATGAGCCCTCCAGCTGTTGTGGGCTTGAGAGACTGCTGCCTTGGAAGGGGCTTACAGATGATAAGATGCTCCTTCTATCTTCATTCCTCTAGGATCTTTAATTCTTTCTTTCTTTCTGTACTTTAGTCTTTCTCTGCCTTTCTGCCTCCCTTAAATCAAGCAAATTTAATACCTATGTGGCCACTGAGAAAACACACTTGCACTTGATCTCATGTTGCCAACGCAATCGCGCATTCTCGTTAAGGCCGCAGCTCTTCGCATGAACTTCTTCCTCTGTGCTGTTAATCCCCCATTAAGAACAAAGATTGATTCCTTGCAGAAAGTGAACACTACATACACAGAGGACAGAGGAAGTTCAGATTAGAGCTGCAAGCTAAATCTTCGCCGCTTACTGTTTTTATGACAGTGGCTGCAGATTGCACACGTCAGTCAAGTGAGCAACAACGAAGAATCCCGCGTCTCTAAATATTGCATATAAATGAAATTGCTTGCATTTTTTGTAGGGGTGGGGGTGACTCTCTTTTTTTTATGAGTATATGTCTTTGACAAAGCAGAACTGAGTGAAGCAGTTTGAGTGCTGCATATCTCCCCTGGCCCAGCACTGAGCCTGCAGGGCCTGTTGTGTCTGCCAGCAGAAAGAAAGCGTAGGAAGTCCAGCAGGTTTTGGACAGACAGGCAGAGAGCAACAGGCAGTCTGTCAGCTCGAAAATATTACACTGATATTCAAAACTCGGCAGAAGCGAGTCAGTAGATGGGAAAAAATTCTTATATTTGTTTCCTTATCATAATGTTAATAATTACTCATATATATTCTATTGCGCAGTGTGGTCATTGCTTGCACTTGGGATCTAGCTTGACTCTTGACTACAAACCATAATTGACATCCTGGTGGTTCCTACTATTGATTAATGCTAAGATCCTCATTTTACATTACCACTGACAAGGGCGATTCACATGACATGATCAATTATCTGTAATCATATCAGCGCATCATCCTCCTCACCGTGTTTAGATAAGATAACTTCCCATTGGGGTTTTTTGGACATGGATACATGCTTGCGGGGGAGCTCTAACTTAATTTAGGCTCTAATGTCTTTAGCCGGTCTCGAAATAGGATGCAGCATGTACATATCTGTCTTTGTGGGTCTGTTGTGGATGGCAGCTGAGTCCAGATGAGGAAAGTGGCTCCTTAGTTGTTTACTTTGAGAGGAAGCAATAAATCTAACATTACTGTCATCATTCAGTATGCACAGATTCAGATGTTGCTGTTTTAGGAGAGGAATAAAATTAACATCTCGTGACATCTTATCATTTTTTTCCCCCATTTTATTGCACATTACGTATTTCATGTGATCCCTCTCAGTGCAGCCTTGTTTGTTAGTTGTCAAAAGCATCTCAGACGAGGAGTTTGGCTCTCAGGAAATCATGTTTGTTTTGCTGTAAAGATGAAAAAGCTGTAAAAAAATGTCACATATTAAAGATATTGTACATGGCAGCGTTTTAGCTTTGGATTTCTTGTATCGTCTATCTCTGTGTGTGTGTGTTTCTGTTACTCACACACTAAAGCAAGCGTTCTCATTTTTAGGGATTTAGGGGATCTAATAGCCTTCAGGAAACCTTTTGAAGATGCTCCTTTTCTTACAAAGTGCAAAGATACATCTGTTGGGAGTTTCGGGGAGAATTTCTGAATTTAGACATCTGCTCATCTCTCTCTCTCGCTCGCTCTCTCTCTTTCTCTCTGTTTCATTTGGTACTGCATGTGCTTTTCTTTTGAGAATCAAGACGCTGATCACTGACTCTTTTTTTTTTCTCTTGCAGTCTGTGTGCAGGCACTAGATGTGACAATGTCCCAGCGCAGTGTCCAGGTGGCTCGTGGCCAAGCAGCCATCCTGCCCTGCTCCTTTACCACCAGCGCTGCCCTCACCAACCTCAACATCATCTGGATGGTGACACCGCTGTCCAATGCTTACCAGCCAGAGCAGGTATGAACCACTTGCATCCACCCACTGACCTGAGTCATCTTTTACAGCTTTTACAGCTAAGATCAGAGTCACGGGTGTGTTAAAAAGCATAGTCTTCATATTTAGAAGACAGACTCGTGCAGTGCAATTAAGCATGTCAGATCCTTATTTACTAATCTGAGAGTTTTGCTGTGATTGTTGTAATTAACTGTAGATGTTTGGATGCTGAATTGGTACACAGTCAGTGTTGCCGTGCACTCTGCACATCAACTGAAATGTCTGCTTCTGAAATCTTATTTTCTAATGCAACACTACTGTATGCGCATCTTGTGGATGGGTTCCTTACAGTCAATGCAGGTACACGAGAGTTTGCTCTGTTTGAAGGTGTGCTCAGATACAGTGCAAAGAGAATATGAGTGGCTGCAAAAATGCATCACACGTGTAGAGAATGAAACAAGCAAAAGGGAAGTGTCATGTAGCTCTTACATCTTATGGCACGACTCTTTTGTTTATATTTTGCCCCCACAGACCCAGACTTGTTTGTAATTGTTATTGTGCTCTTGAGGAATAATTCTTTATACTTTCTGAAGGTCTTTGAGGTTGGATTTAGCATCAAACTTGACGTCTGTCAAAGTTATAAATGCAGAAAAGCACAGTAAGATTTTGATCCACCTTTTAATACCATCTGGAGAACAACAGCGTCATTTTTCAGCGTGGCAGTGATCACAAACGCACTGCAAAGGCAGTAAAAACACACAAAGAAACACAGCCAGTCATGAATTGGCCTTCCCAGTTCCCAGACCTCAACATTATGGAAGCAGTCTACAATCATCTTTATAGAAAGCGCAACAAAAGGCAGCCAACATCCAAAGAACAGCTTTGAATGATCTTCAAGAAGCCTGAGAAATATTCCTGAAGACTACTTAAATTACAAGAAAGCTTGTCTAAGAGAGTTCAGGCTGTGCTGAAAAATAAATATGATTGGTGCACCTATTTCTCAATTTTCCTGGCAAGGTAAAAAGAAATTAGGGGTGGATCAAGGCTTTTGCAAAAAAACTATCTATCTATGCTAAATTTGCTAAATTTGCATATGCCAAAAAATATAGTTGCACTGCTTAAACAAAAGCAGACAGAAAAAATAATTCCCTTTTCAGTGCATCTGAACACACCTTCAGTACGTCAGTTTTGTAACTAATAGAGATCACCATGCTTTAAAATAGAAGTAATGTAGTAGTAAGCTTAAGGGTGTATTAATAGTTTACAATCTGTGTGCTGCAGGATGCCTCTTAAACAACATATGCACAGCCAAAGCATCAAACTGCTTTCGCAGTGCTGATTTGATGTGGAAACACTGTCAGAAAGTTCCACGCAAAGACATGGCGAATTTAAGTTACTCGCCGACTGCTGATGCTCATTTTGTTTATCTGGCCTCGTTTATAGCAGTCTACTCTCTCACCTTCCCTCCGTCCCTCTCTCGCTCACTCTTCATCCCCTCGTGCGGGACTTCTGTGATTCCATTTGAGTTGTTTAACATGCAGCTGCAGGCCGTACAAGCTCACCTGCCTCCCTTCACTTTGAACCCCAGTGCTGGTCGGCCGTCCAAATAACACAATCATCTTCTGCACTAATTAACTCACGCCCACGACAGGCTCTATATCGCAGCTGTTCTCCACACACACAGACACACAAATATGCACAAATGCACGCACGCAAACTGGAATTGAACAGACTGCTGGTCCAAATGTAGTGCGGATCCACGTGCCTACATGCGGGGCTTATATACAGTATGCATTCATGTGTGAAGTCTGTAGACAAAGTGCACAGTCTAAGTGTGAATACTGACGTGAGTGTATACATCCAGAAATTCACACATCATGGCATGGTTATGTCATGTGTACACCTGTCGCTTGTATGGCTGTGTGATGAAATAAAGTGCTGCGTGGTGCGACAGAACACGCACAAGGTCATTTTAGAGAGAGAAAGAGTGTGTTTGTCATAAATGATTACAGTTGATGCTGAAAGCCATTAAGAATTACTGAACAGAACGCCATACACTTGCGCAACCTGCATTAGCACTTTAGTGAGCACACACTATGACCACTCAGATCTCTCTCTCCTCAAAATCGAATGCCATGCTCGTGTTGGTCCGTACCGAATCATGAACTGTTAGAAGGCGACGGCAAAACTTTGTCGGCCTCACTAAAAAGTGCAAACGTAGCTATTTGTTTCCCCCGCTGCCTTTATTGCATTGTTGTCTAAGGCATCACCCTCTACTTCATAGCCTTTAGCTTACACGGTCGACCCCACGTTATAGGCTGTGGGAACTTAACTATAAGCTCTATATATTTTGTTTATGAGATCAGGCAGTGTGACAGGCTGGTGCATTTGTTGTCTGCTGGGATCCTGATGTATGAAGGAATTACTCTGGAGACAAAGTAATTTGTATTTTGAGTTAAAAGTCACAATAAACCCCAAATGACTCCATCAGAATATATTTTGGTGTATGTTTTAAAAACGGATAAAATGTCTGCCTGTATTATTAAACAAGTAAAGAGTTGACAACCACCCAAAAAACTCTATCTCAAGTTCATCCTCAGCACTGTGCTTTTTAAGATCTTTTAGTTATTTTTATCATTTCCAGTCATTTTTGATTCACTTTCTGCATTTTCCTGTGATTTTTTTTATTTTTAAAAAGCTACATATGTATATATATATATATATATATATATATATATATACTACCTGGAGAACAAACAGAGAAAGTAAGCAATTAGCTAGAGTCTAAAGAGCCACATATTTCCCCCAGGAGTTAAGGTAACAAAACAGAGCTAAAGGGGAAACTGACCTCAAATGAATGTTAATGTTGCTCCAGAACTGTTAACTCCTACACATTATCAAATTTAAAGGTCTTGACATTAGTGTTGCATTTGCACCTTGCTTCTAGCTGCTCAGCATAAGGTAATATAGTAGCTGTAGATTCAGCAGAAAAAAATCCTTCTTCTGTTCTTTTCTTTGGCATATGAATGACCATTTTATATAACATGAAATAGTTCACACATAGAGACCTCCAAAAGATATTTGTTCTATTTTATGGTAAAAACTAATGCCCACTGACAGTACCAGGCTTTGTCATTTAAAAATGGGTTCAATTACCTTTCACGGCATGTGTTTTTTGATGAAAGACACCTATCACAAACATAAACCAATATAAGAACATGCATAAAAGTAATAAAGGTAACGTATTAAACCTACACCAAAACAAAACAACAACTGAGTGCATATGGTTTGTATGTGCTTTGAAGTATTTAACTGTACTAGCATATGCATGAGCATTATCTAGTGGCCATGTCAGCCAATTACACTCCTAGACTCTAAGGCTACCCTGAAGGTTATAGCATATAGTTTTTTGTTTGGGTTCTCACCACTGTATAATTAAAGAAACAGCTACGCTTAGCTAAGATAGCCAGCTGGTGGTTGTAGTTTCATATTTAACAGACACATGAGGTGCTATATATTGAAGTTCACAGAGATTTCAGATTCCCAAGCATGATAAATTAGACTTGAAAACTTGCTCAAATGCTTCACACATTGTGATAAAACTGTGAAAAACTGTGATTTCTAAAACAGACAACTAACAATATGTTCATGGAAGGGTCTGCAGAACAACACACACTCTTTCACTATGATAGAGACAGCTAGCTGAGGACATCTGGCTGGTATCTTGGGATGATGCCCACTCAGAAATTTGTAGGACACCTTAATGGAAACTTCCACCCTGATGCTTTCTTTTACACTTTATATAACATAGACTACACCGTGCAAAGTCTCCATGACTTCAGTTATACTGAGGAAAACCTCTATCAGTAATTGTGTACCTGAACCTACTATAATATGACATGAAGCCAGTATCATCCGTGTTGCATCTCTCCTATAGCAACAAAATTGTGATGTAAAGGAGCAATAATGTGAGAGCTTCACTGAACAAGCATTTACAGCGCATCCAAAGTGAAGTTTGGAACCACCAGGACTCTTCCTAGAGGTGGCCGCCAATCTGACCAATCGGGATGGAAGGGACTTAACCAGGGAGATGACCAAGAACTCTATGGTCACTCTGAAAGAGATCCAGCATTGTTGTGTGGACAGAGGAGAACCATTTCTGTAGCACTCAACCAACCAGGCCTGTATGGTAGGGTCCAGAATGACCAGACTGAAGCCACTCCTCAGTAAAAGGCACATGACAGCAGGCCCGTAGTTTCCCAAAAGTTAACTGAAGCACTCTTAGACCATGAGAAACAAAATTATCTGGTCTGATGAAAAAAGGTTAAACTCTTTGGCATGAATACCAAGTGTGAAGTTTGAAGGAAATCAAGCACCACTCATCATCTCGTCAGGTGGTGGCAGCATAATGCTGCGGGGTGTTTTTTCAGCAGCAGGAACTGGGAGACTAGTCAGGGTCGAGGGAAATGTGAGTGTAGCAATGTACAGAGACATCCTTGTTGATAACCTGGTTCTCGTTCTGGGGCAGGGCTCATCTTTGGAAATTTACTCAATTTTGGAATAAAGCTCTAACATGACAAAATGTTGAACAAGTAAAGCGCTGTGAAGTTAAGTGTACTCTTTATTAGTGCTCAGAGAATTCAAGCTTGAATCTCTAACTGTGTAAACTTTTACCTAATTCCAGTTGTGGTCATTTTTTATTCTCATGACCAGACAAGCTAAACTCCAGATTCTAACATGTTGGTGCATAGCTCAGAGAAGTGTACCTGCATGTTTGCATATTCATGTGCTGTTTTCTGTGGATGTAATCCGTCTGACAAATTGTTGTGGAGATCAGAAGTCTTGGCCTCTGTCCTCTGGTCTTCTTGATAAAATGCTTTTATTGTGGCGGGACATCTTTTCAAATTGCATATTGTTTTCTTTGTTGTTGCAGTTGATGATCAAAGGTTTTAGAGAAAGGTGTATTTTCTCAGCACTAATGAAAACGTTTCTCATTTTCAGTATTTGTGTACCTTGGTCATCTCCCTGATTAAGTCCCTCTTTTTCTTAGTTCCTGGAAAAAAAAGCTTAAAAAATATATATAATGTTGATATAGTAAAATATGTGCCGCATCACTGAAATGAATATTCTGTGAAATTGAGATCATAAAGAATATGTGATGCAGAAATAATGCTGATCTTTAAATGAGTATATAGCCTGTGTGCCTGTAAAGTCAATTTAATTTGACCAGATTCGATTAAACGTAACGTCTTAGCATACATTGTACTCATATAGCAAAACCACATTGAACATTTACATGTGCTTCCATAGTATATTTGTACTATACTGTACTTTGTATTTATCAGCAGACAGGTATTTTACTTTATTTATTTATATATTTGATTACTTTTCCACTTGTCTACCTCAGGGGACATAAGTATGCAGAGTCAACTTAATTAGTTTTTTATTTTCTGGTTTTTATTATGTTATATTATATAATTTTTGTGTCGTACAAGTGTATTTCCAAAGGATGGTTTAATGGGAAAAATCCTTTTTAATAATACTGGGAGTTTTTTTTTAGTTTACTGTAGAATGTGGTTATCGTGATTATGGTGAGTTTTTAATACCGTACCAGGCTTAGACCAATGACATGGGCACTTTATAAGCAACTCAATTTTATGGGAGTCGTACTTCGTGTGAGCGACTCCAGGCACAGTTTCTCCAGTGCTGTCTGAAGTTTGAAGTCTCAGTGAATCTAGTTTGACCTTCAGTATTTCATTGAGGTACAAGCCCCACTGTTACACACAAGACACAGCTCAGATTATCAGACAGGCCAGTGAGATTACAGGTTTAGTTCAAACAAAACTGCCCGAGTTGTGCATTAGATCAGTTACAAGTGAGACGGTTCCTATAGGACCCCTCTCACACCTCCCATCACGTCATTCTCTTGGTCAGTTTTTGTGCCACAACAACTGACCAAGCATTTTAAACATTTGGCAATGTGTGAAAATGTGCTGACAAAAGAGTCAAATATATATATATATATATATATATATATATGTACTAGAGTCAAAAAGGTAAATGAGGTAAATCCAGAAGTATATTAGTAAAATGGGGTTTGGTCCCATATTGTTCAGAACATATCTCAAAGGATAGAAAGAGATAACAGTTGCAGCTTATAGTCATAAGATTGAAGGGAGCTGTGAGGGTTTAGAGATTTATTCAGGCTTTATTGAAGCGATGGCAGTATCTGCCATGTCAGGGGCCAGGGGGTCCTTGCACGGTCAGTTAGAATTGGAATAGGAGTACGAAACTGGTACAGCAGTATCTGAAAGTTCACTATGAGCATTCGTTTGCTACTCACACTTACAGGGTATATCGCGCAGCAGGAGAACGACTGGGGATGTAGCACAATTTGTGCAGATGCTTGTACTGTATCTGTGTAGGATTTTAGGAGTCAAAGGATGAAACAGAGGTTTACCACTGGGCCAGCTGGGTGTCCAGCTAGTCCAGCTAGAGTTCTTAGGGCCGTCTGCCATCTGAGTGCCAGCCATGACCTCTTTTCTATCTGTTCATAGCCACAAAGCCAACCAGGTCACGCGAGGGAATGAGGTGATTTATACATACACGTAGATACGGATGGATCAACATAGCGGACAGAGGCAAAATAAAAACAAGTCTACAAAAAGGAGGGCGTTTGGCATGCACCATAAATGCACCACTGTTCTCATGCTTGTGATTTTTAACATCCTTTTAAACATACATTGGCTTGATTTATTTCTCCATAATCCATCGGGCATTTGTTTCTGTTCCTAAAATTAATACCTGCAGAGTAGAAGGAGATAGAGTTGCCAAAATGGGCTTGATCTGCAGCACAGGTTAGGACCTGCTTTAATCCTCCGCTCATTCATGCACACACTCAGAACGAGCACAGTCAAAACGGTGTGTGCGAGGCCGATTGATTGGATCGCTTTCCCCAGGCATGCAGATTATATTGTTGGGTCATCAGGAATATAGAGCCAGGTCAGATCATGTGTTAGAGAAAGGAAACAGAGAGGTATGCACAAATGAACCTATTACAAAAAAAAACACATAGAAGGAAAGAAAAGAATGGGCAGTTATTAAACGGAGGGACACTTATTGTGACATAACAGTCACAAACACTTCCATGCTCCACACACACACTTGCACACTCTGCTCACAACTGATACACTCCTTGTGACAAAATGTATCTACAGTGAAAGACACACACACGCAGAAGAGATGCAGTTGCAGGCTCTCATCACAGCTGAGGAGCTGCCTATTCATCTGCACATAAGAGGACAAAGCGAGCGTGCTGCACTCAGGAAATTGCTGCCACGCAATTTACAATCGTTAAGCAGCGGTGGAGGACGCGGTCACATACGCACTCCTGCACTTTCATCCGAACTATCATTCTCATGCATGCGCGCGCACACAGAGCCGCGCGCACACAGAGCCGCGCACACTCACGCGAGAACACACTGGTGCTGGTTGCCTCTCCGCCTGGGTCTTTGAACAGTTCAATGAGGCCTCTTTTCAGCAAAGTGAATAGCCCCTCTGATTCCCCACCACGCTTTGTGTGTAGGCGTATGCGCCGCGCCACCGTGTGAGTTGGTGCACGCGTGTCATGACTGCCAGACTTGTGTGCATGTACCGTGTGTTTGCGTGGGTCCTTCATCCTTTGTGTGGGCCCAGCTGAGGGGTGAGAGCTGTTTTGCATGTGGCTCGGCCTCACAAACGAGCTGTTCGGGCCAAATTTGAAGCTTCTGGGAAGCTTTTAAACAACTTGGTCTTTCATTGGCTTTTAATTTCGATCCCGAGACAAGATCAGCTCAACCTCAACCAAGTGTGGAGTCTGTGATTGTTCTCAAAGGTCACGGATGTAATGATAAAATGATAGCTTCTGCGTTAAGTTCTTGCTGGGTTTGACCTCTTTGTGCAGACGTCTGCCTGCATTGCTGCTGTCAGATTGGTCATATTGCAGTTTATATGTTTCTAATTTAAAATGTTTTCAATTATGCATACCATTTAGTGCATGCTTTTATGTGAAGAGCCTTACAGTAGCATGAAAGCATACTTTTAGTGTGTACTTCTCCCCCTAAATCTACCCACCGAGCTAGAAAGGACCACTTACAAATGAAAAGGGTTTTTTTTAGTTTGTCTGTTTGTTTGTTTGTTTCTTCCAGAGAAATAAGTCAGTTTGCTCCATTCTGTCCACTGTCTATTTTTAGCCTCTATGTAGAAATAGGTCTCCCTCTAGTGAGAGTGATGTGTAACACTAAAGGAAACGTCATCTACAGGTGAGGACAAAAATCATTCGTCCCCCTATGAAATCTAAAGTTATTGTTATTGTCAAAATGTTCCCAAGTGCTTGTTTAGGAATGCAATGGATTTTGAATCCAGCATTTTTAACTTTACTAGCATAAATTATTTCTATTTGTGCACAATAGGAAAAATAAAATTACCAGTCAATATTGAAATGCTCAGTTTGTAAAATGAAGTTAGAACTGAGTGTTATCTTTCAATTTAAACACAGTATAAAAACTTGCAACTGCAAGGGTTGGCGCTGTCAGTTGAGAAAGCATCATACCAAAAACAAAATAAATCAGTTTAGACTGAATGCTCACAAAGCAGGAGATGGATAGAAAAAGTTATCATAGCGTTTCAAGTGTCAAGAACTCAAGAAATTTAAAGAGAGCCATGCAGCACCGAACACAGAACAAGCCTGGCAGCGGTATGTGAATAACTTAACCAAGTTGGGAAAATGTAGTCTCAAAGAAGACAACAAGTATGCTAAGGACAACCTTTAGATTATGCATACTTGTTCAGATGAAATGAAACTAGAGCTCTTTAGCCAAAGAGATGCTGCTTGTGTTTGGAAAAAGAAGGGAGAGGCATCTGACTCAAAGAAGACCATCCCCACAGTGAAACACGGTGGTGAGAGTATCACGCTGTGGGGACGCTTCAGTGCGTCTGGAATGGGCAATCCCCTCAGGGTGGAAAGAACCATAAGGAAAGTAGGATACATGAAGGTTTTTGAAAGGAAACCTCAAGCATTCATCAGCAAAACGAGGTCTAGGTCGTCATTTTGTTTTCAAACATGAGAACATCCCAAAACATGTCAGTCCCAGTGAAGAGCTACCTCCTGAAAACCAAAGTGAACGTTACTGACTGATCTGCACAAAGCCCAGACTTGAATCCCTATGAAAATCTTTGGGATGAACTGACAACCAAGGTCCATGCCAGAAGACCATCAAATCTGGAGGAGCTTATGAGTCATTAAAGAAGAATGGGCAGGGATTGCTCAGGCGATGTGGGTTAAACTTGTGGAAATTGCAAGAAACAACTGCAGGTTGTGATCCAGAAAAAATGATATGCAAACATTAGCATAAGGAGGGCCAAATAGTTTTTTTTTTGGTTTGGTATTAAATACTTTTGGTTTCAGTGTGTAAAAAAAAAAATAGGATGTTTGGAAAAACTGCGTTCCTTGTTCTGTTTAAGAGCACTTGGGAAATACTTTTGAAAAAACATTTTCAATGGGGGTAATAATTTAGTCCTCATCTGTATCTTTTAAATTACAGTAAAAGTGACACTGTGTGAAACAGTATTTTAAATATTGAGTTTAATTAAAAATTTTCTCTGGTCCCTTATCCAGGTGATAATTTACCAGGGCGGTCGGGTCTTCAGCCTCTCCAACCACCTCAACGGTCGTGTGGGCTTCGTTGCCACCATGCCAAGCACAAGTGCCTCCATCTTCATCAACAACACCCAGGTGTCCGACACTGGGACCTACCAGTGCCTGGTCAACAACCTCCCAGACAGAGGGGGGCGCAGCATTGGTGTCGTTGGACTCACAGTGTTGGGTAGTGTACACCAGCACATTTCTTTCATTATTCTTTCCACAACTCCAAAAATAAAAAGGAGAAAAGGAAAGCGTTGCGCACTTCATAACCTGAGAGCACGTGGCGCTCACTTTTTTTAAAAATGCATCTCAAGTGCCAGCTAATAACAGTAGAGGACAAAAAAAAAGGTTTTGTCTTATTTTCTTCTCTACCATCTGCAGATCTTTATTAAAGAAAGATAAACAGCACAATCATCACTGTGGCAAAGTGGAAACTGTTCAGTTTGTCAGGAGCCCTTTTAATAAGAAAACATCATATCTGACTGTTTGATTAATGAGATTCTGCACATTTTTTAAATTATGTAATTCTCTCCCCTATTTGGAAAGAAATTAGTTTTCTTTTGTAAAGTGGTTAACGCACCACCGCCCACTCTCTCCATCTGCCAGTGCCCCCCTCGGTGCCAGCGTGTCGAATCCAGGGAACGCTGGATGTAGGCAGTGACATCATGCTGATCTGCAAATCAGAGGAAGGTATTCCCACGCCGTCCTACTCCTGGGAGAAGCTGGACGCGCTGCCCAAGCTGCCGCACAACGCCATGCAAGGTATTACAAACAAGCTGGCCGTCGGAGTTCCCTTTTGCCCCACCTTCGCTGGTAAATCTCACACGCATAGCGTAGCTCAGACTCCAAATCACTGCCACCTGTCATGTGCCAGGCCTGAACTACTGCCCCCTTTCCTGACTATCCTCCTCCGCTGACCCTGCTGAGGGTGATGATGGATGGATGTAGTGACTCGAACCTGTGAATTTGTGAATGAGCTTGTGTGTGTGTGTGTCAGCAATGTGTTTCTGTAAGTGAGCAAAGTGATATTGCTTTGTGGTGTTCCTTCCTCATGCTGAATACCAACTCTGCCCACACGTGCCATTGTGAGATCTGCAGTTGTGTCATTGCTGCGACCGCAATACATACAATGACTTTCTTCTGCCATCCAGCGTTTAATATTTACAGAAACTGGAGTTGCATTTGGTTTTCAGCATCAGAGAGGACTGGTGTGGTGCACTCTCCTTTCTTTTCCAGCTGTGCCCACTGCACAGTGAAATAATATTCATCACTGGTATCTTTCTTTGTCTGTACACTACTGGTCAGTAGAAAGCCCACTGTGCAAAAGTCACATCAATTGCAGACAGCATATTATCATAAAAGTGAAACAGTCTTCTGTTAACACGTATGAGTCCAATTATCTGAGCACTTGCAGAGGGAGAATAGGAAATGTGTACTCAGTAAATCATAATTGCAAATTAGGCTGCAAAGGTGGTTGAATAAATGTCAATTATCTTCTTTTGTGATATGCTAATTTGCAATTTTGGCAATCAGGCCTTTGAAATGATAACATCGAAAAGCGCTTCAAAGGATCGGACTCACCACAAAATGGAGTGGCGTTAGCGCAAATGAACAAACAAACAACAAAGACACAAAAACAACCTGACACAAAAACGTTTTTTTTTTAAATAATCTAGATTTTGTTGTTGTTGTTTTTTCATTTTCTTTTTCAATATTTCAGTTAGACTGTAAAGTTTCGTCTGTGTGCACGAGTATTTTTAATGTGTATTGGTGCACGCTGTTCCTTTCAGTTCAGTTCAGTTTTATTTATATAGCACCAAATCACAACAGTTGCTCCAAGGTGTTTTATATTGTAAAGTAAAGAAGCTAAAATAATACAGAGAAAACCCCACAGTCACATGAGCCCCTATGAGCAAGCACTTTGTGACAGTGGGAAGGAAAAACTGCCTTTTAACAGAAGGAAACCTCCTTGTGCTGCAACCAGCTAGGGGAGGGGAAGCCAAAAGCCACACTGTGGAAGAGAGCCAACAATGAATAATACGTCATGCTTAAATGCAGAATGCATGCATGGGACGTCCCCAGCAGCCTAGGCCTAGGTCACCTGATCGAGCCCTAACTATATAGTAGAGAGGGTGTCTCTCTCCTGAATCCAAACTGGGAGCTGGTTCCACAGAAGAGGGGCCTGAAAGCTGAAGGCTCTGCCT